AAGGTTTTTTTGCATCGCCGTATGCACCGGCCTTCGTGATCTACTTTCATCACTCGGGCACGAAAAGATAATGAAAGAATCAACCAAAACCACAATAACAGGTTAGATATAACATTTATGTAAACTTTGCATTGACAAACTTTACAGCCTGATGATAGCCTTGATATTATTTTCCAGTCACCCATAAGCTTTCAACGTGAAACTGAACATTAATCTATATTTCAAAATTAAAAACCTCTGGAAAATGCCTTAAATTTCTTGTTTTACAAAGCCAAAACGCACCAAATTTACCCTGTTTCAAAAAAGACAAAAAAAATCCAAATCTTGAAAACAAAGACTACTAGTCTCTGAGGAGTTCTATTGTTATCACTATTGTTTTCATTTAACAAAGACTGAATGCATAATTAAAGTATGGGGTTATATGGTACTCTTGCCAAAGCCACTAAAGTATGGTAAATGTCTTTGCCAACACTCTCAAAAATCTTCAATGATTCAACCATGAAATGGCTCAGCAAATAACAAGTACACTCAGAAAGAGAAATATTAAGTGCTACCAACACAAAGAAACCAACGATTTTCTAAGAAATATTCTGGATGTTCTACCACTGAATAACAATAGACCTGGGGGTATATTTGAGACAGCGCCTTGGCTAATGAGCTAAGTTTTTGAAGCTGATGGACATCTTTGGCCGTTTAGGGAGGTCTTTAGAGGTCTTTATAAGATATCAGGATGGTGTGAAGAGGGTCATCGCGCCCAGAAGACTTGGAAAGAAGTCTTCATCAAATAAACTCAGTGTCAAAATGAAACATATAATTGGCATTTGTCCAGAGCGATCTGATCTCACGTTAATTCTTCATCGATTAAAGACACAACATCAACACCAAGCTTGCAAGGTCCTGACCATAAGTCAATGAAATCGGAAAAATTCTTCAGTTGCTCAAATAAAATCATCGGGGAATGTACATCACTCGAAGTTCACACGACGGCAATTGTACATGTATAGAGAGCATTAATTACAGTGGTAAATCGTACAAATTCATATTGGAATTTGTACAGGAAAAGGCTTAAATCATCTAAAAAATAGATAAAACATGTCATGAAATACCTGAAACACAAAAGTGTGTCTTCCAATCGGGACAGGTCCAACTAAGACAGAGTCTAACACTTGATCATACGTATCACTCTCGGCCGATCCAACATAAATGAGCTTCCACTCTAGATCTTCAGGATTTACACAAGAGAAAATAAATTGAGAGACAGAGACTTAATGCCATTTAAAATTGGCATTCATAAAGGAACAAAGTTCAAATAAAACAGTACAAACCTTCGTTAAGTTCCTCAGTGCAGTCGAAGGTAATTTGAAATTCAAAGTCACTGCAGAAGGAAGACGGATTTTGGCCGATTGTCACATCGATGATGTGAACCTTTGCCATATTCACTAACCAGAAGACCACATGAACTGTTTAAAGCGCTGTGCAATGGGCAAAGATCGATCAAAGCTATGAATTCAGACTCAATGCTTCGAAATCTCGACATCCATTACTGTTCACATAAATGGCGGTAAAATTTCTAATCTGGCGCGTAAAGAAAATCGTACAGCGCATGTCAGAGCACATGTGCTAAAGTCGCAGGCGACAAGCCGCAGTACTTCTCGGACAAAAGTGTCGACAGGGAAATGGGAAAAACAAAACACTGCATTATCAAAATAATTCTAGAATACTAACCTGATTTTCGGTTTTCGATATTCGCTGCCTTTTAGTTTTTGCGCAGAAAGCACAGAGAAGTCGAGAAGCCGGCATTATAATGCATCTCAAAAAAACCATACTTAATTACATAGAAGCGAGTCTAACTTGACATCACGGAAGGCGGGAAATATTTGAACGCAGCCGTCCATCATCGATAAAAATTTTAGCAAATCTTCTCCATATACACGAACATTTGCGTGCAAAAAAAAACCTCAATTAAAATGGATTTTCGAAAGCAAGCATGTGGATTTTCAGGCCTATAATAATTGCCTGTGCATTACACAATGTACGATGAAGAATATTAACGGATTTTGGCCCTTAACAAAGCCACGAAGAATCAGGATCATACAGTTGTCATCGAAGACTGAGGGCCACATTCAAATCTTTCGTCTCATTTTTCGGATGAAACTGAATCGAAGGTAAGTAATTTTTCAAAGTTGTCTGAGTATGTGTGTTTTATGTTAACTTCAAAGATTAAAAATCAAAGCGAGGTTCCAAAGTAAATTTTAAACTCGTGCTATAATAAATATGTTTGTATGTGGGAAGTATATGGCTTTGTGATCGAGCATTTGGCCTCATACTTTTATATGCATCTCAGCAGGAAGACTACTTAGTCCAGTTTCCATTCCTTTTAAAAGTGGTTAAATATGCAGCAAATGATTATCGGAAGAAAAAAAATTGAAATATCGTAAACTGTCACGTGGTAGCTCTGCCTATGTGTGTCTGTGTGAGTATGGGGGAGGGGGGCTGGGGTTAAATAGGCTCATATTGGAGGGGGTATGTGACCAGAATAAACAATTTCAATATGACCTTTAGCCGGATTGAACGGAATAATTTTCCAACAACCCATTTTCAATCGAACCTTATGGCGGAATAACAAATGAAAGGCAAGTAGTCATGGTTTGCCATATCAGCTGATTTACTTGAGCTTCACGGTTTTGTGTGCGCTACGTAATAAATGGTGGGGCCTCTAGCGGCCAGGTCTCACACGACTATGACGTTCCTTTCCGGTTTAGCGCATACAAAACCGCCTGATAAGTATCGAGCTATAGGTAGCAAAAAAGAGACAAAATCGTGGGATTGAGAAGTTATGATCGGCTTCATATTTTTGTTTGCAAGTAGAAGGGCTAATAGCCAGAGAAAAATCTTGTCAGTGAGAGGACTCCAGTAAGTTTCGTGCTAGTGGTTCACTGCGGTCTCAAACTGTGGTCAAACAGAGGGAAACGAAGGATTGTAAGTTAATGACATACAAGACGATTGATATGACAATACAAGTTGTCTTTATATCCTTAGGATTTCAAGCATTTAAGCTGGGATTGCTTGTAGGGTTGTTTTTCATGGAAGTCGATTTTTGTGAAAGGCGCGTCGTTTAACTGCAACTCGGTCGCACCACGCATTCGAAACTCACTTTGAAATTATATTCGTTGAATTTTGAGACCGGAAGTTGACAACGGTGCTCTTTGAAATCCCGTTGGTGCAAGTTGGAATTTCTGACTATCATGAAGAACAAACCCGCTGAATTTTTCCACTCGGTCTTTATCATAGACATCCAGCTAAAAAAAGACCTGAAAAACTATTAGCATAAAATAACGTCCAAACAAAAGATGGTTGAATGTAGATTACACGTCTTTTAACCAAGATAAACCTTTCTTTTTTACTCGAATGTTATCATTCAAACTGAGATAAATGGGTTCATATGTTTCCAAAAAAAGCAGTCAGACTTGAACCTGCAAAATGTATACTGAAATTTTGTTATAAAAAGTAATCAACTGAAACGGGCTAATTAGTTATAAAAAAGTCTTGCTGGTAAGTTTCCATTGTTCAGTTATTAAATGATTCATTACATCTAAAAAGCTAAACATTTTAAGATGTTTGGGCACTAAAATGTTCTGCTCGATAAAAAAAATTTACCTCATATTTTATCAGCTTTTCAAAATTTATAAAAAGATCTTCGAAAATTCATTTAAATCCCTTTAAGTCGGGAAAATGCTTCCACCAAGCAAAAAGAAAGTCGTACTCTGTTGCGTTCGCGTCCGGGCCTTTGCATAACATAAATTAGACCACCAAGACATTCGTAGCAGACTGCAGAAGGGATAACAGAGGTCTAAATAACTTGCAGTAACTTCTTTTGCTAACGACAGATCTCTTCTCACGTACCAAGCCTTGTTTTTTGCACGTCACGTAACTGAAACATTGAGACAAATTGTCATTAGCCTGTTCGCATATATGTCATCGTAACGGATTACCGAAGACAACTGTACGAGAAGAAACACAAAGAAAGAAACAAACACACATGCGAACATAATTACGCACGCACCCACGAAAAAAACAAAAATTCGACAAAGGGGAAAAAAGATAATTTGTTTTATCAACTGAGTCGAAAACGTAAGTCAGCTACCTTAAAGGGTTTCTTAAGCTGACGTTTGGAGCGTTAGCCTTTTGCTCTGATGCAACTGTTTACAGTGTGGCCAATTTAGTTAATTAACCCAGTTGATAAAACCAAATTATCTTGTAACACCCCCCCTCCCACCGACAGTTTCTTTGAAACAGGAATAACACCCTGGTGAGCACGAATACGTTTATGATCATATGGACACAGGCAATGGGGACCAGCACTTTTCATAAATGAAGTAATCATTCCCAGTATTACCTTTAGAGATTCTTTGAAAGCAGAAAAATTATTTCTTTTTCTAAGGCCGGTGTCAAGACTGCGTGACCTAGCTCGGTACCGAGGAAGTCCGAGAGAGGCAAGTGGCACACTTGTGTTGCTCTCATGTGCAGAGTCAGAAGGCTGTTCCTCTGCCACCATATCAAGGCTCCTACTGCGTATGCCTTTGGAAGTAGATGGTAAAGAGACTCGTCTGGATGCCAAAAGATATCTGGCTTCATCCACACTTGACTGGAAATAAACGGACAAGTGAATAACTGAAGAAGGTAAGGAGACATAAGGAGCATAAACGAGGCGTCCAGCCTTGAAGCTTTCAAAGAAAAACTGAAGAAAAACAAACAGATCTTGAGCAGTATATCTTATTCAAAGGAATCTTCATCAATTACGAATAAGGACGATATTTATACATATTTTTGAACTAATTATTGTAATACTAGTAACTTCTATATATATGTACATATTTCTATTTCTTAATTAAGTGTAAAGTTTTAAATTAGTAGCAGGTCCACATCAGGACTTTAGTCTTGCCTACCTAGTAACCTGCTTTATCAAATAAACCATGTATGTATGTATGTATGTATGTATGTATGTATGTATGAGACAATTTTGCACTTTTCACCTGAACATATCATTAATTAAGAGAGAATGAAAATCACTAAAAGTATAGATTTGTTAATGCGATTGCAAAAATCTAAATCAATCACGATGAATCAGTCCGCCAATCGATCAATCAACCAATCATTGAACTAATGGATCGATCGGTTGATGAACTACAATTAAACCTACCTCAGTAGGCATCAGGAACCTGGGATCGAACAATGAATTTTTCCTTGATTCTACACCCGCCCGATTTTCGGTATCATCACACACTGTGATGCTTGGTACTTTCTGCAGTGTATGTCGCTTGCTGTCAATGTTCCCTGGTGATGGCAACGATTGCTCTGGATTACTTGAGGTGTCATGGCTACTCGTTGCATCACAACTAGTATCCCTCACTGTTTTTTGAATAAATCTCAGCTGATCAGTGCAGCTCTTCACAGAACCAGTTGAATCGCATCGTTTTTTGCAAAGTTCGTTTTTGTGAAAATCCTTGCAATCGGAAAATCCCTCCCGGCCGTTTTTCTTATCAAACGAGATAAGGCTGAGCTGCTTTGTGATGGACAATTCACAATCTGACTTGTCCACATCCATTCCTTGATCCTTACTCATAAACTGTGATCAATTTTTCTATTAAAATTCGATCACCTCCAGCTTGTTACTGGTTGTTTTTATGGTGGGCTTGGAATCAATGACAGTGTTTAAACCGTGTTAAGGTCCGGCCAGGAGTAGACTGCAGAAGGAATTAATGCACACAGAAGCTCTTGCGATCCGACCGCACAAAATGTTGAATTTATTGTAGGCTATGAACGACTGAGTGTCGACTGCACTTCACCAACCAAGGTACAAGCCGAAGCATTACACCAATCGGCACCACCTGTTTTCATAAACCGAAATAGAGAAATATTGTTACTTCTTAGAATTTCACTTCTTAAACGTACTCACATCAGAATTAACCTAACTGGAACTTTTGTCAATCTCAGCCTGTTCCGGCAATATGCAAATCATGGCCGTCACTTTCATTGCTGACGATTCGAATATTTGTCATTGATAATAAACGCTAATTGTTATATATAGTACCATTTTCAACCCATTCATTCGAATACCAATTTTTCTGTCTAGACGAGCCAGAAGATTTTTTTCCTTTAGTGGCATTCAAGATTCTGTCCTTCTATAACCACACTGCCTGTCTCATGACTATCGTTTCGATATCATAGACGTTAAGTATAATACATGTACCTATGTACGTCACTAAATCATATGGCACGAGATTTCTTTACTGATTTGGTTCTTTCAGAGATGTCCGAACAAAACGTGAATCTTTTCTACATATCTTGAATTATACTGATTATATTATTAGTGCTAACTGAAAACGTACAGATCTGTTTTGGCAATTGAATTCGTTTGACGGGCAACCGGCATTTCGAATGTATGTGGAAGGCGGAGTACAGATAACATCGTCAGGTTTTGTAGGCCTGCAAGGCGAGGTTTTTTCGAGTTTAGTTAACCTCAAGACATTTTGAACCATACGAAATAGTAGTCAATATAAAGCTTTGGGATTTACCAAAAGGATCTGTAAAAATCAGCGTCATTCTCGCCTGAGCTTTGAATTAGTAAAAAAAAGAAATGACGTATCTAACTAATTATACGCCACAATAAAACCTTAAAATCTAATAGGCAATTTCAATTTCAGCCAGTTTTACAGACTAAAGATAAGTTTATTTCCTTACTTTATCACAAGATATAATTACGAAAAATTTCAATGTCGAACTACTTAACATTTCTATGAAAAGATCGACGCTCGCAACTCACTTTAATGAGACATGACTGGTGTTTTCGTGTTTGGGTTCAGTAGTGAAAATCATTTATATTAGCTCATGTACACAGCTTGATAACGTTAAAAATGAAAATTTTTTTAGGATTATTCTTTAACTCCTTTTCTGACAAAAATTTGGGCAAATACTTTATAGGTCGTAAAGAGATGATTCTAACTGTAGATTTCAGTTCAACGTAATGGGACCTAAGTCAATACAAAGCTGCTAAAATGTTTGAATGAACAAAAAGCAATGAATACCTTGTAAGGCCAAGAGGCAGTCCAAAGAGTTCGACGACCGCAGATTAGACGAGGCCTTTCAGTATTTGCTAATATGATCATCATTGTTTATTTCGTAGCCAGAGTTCGTGATCAATTCTGACTTGCAAAAATTACCATTTATTTGAATTTGCAATTGTAATCGGCTAGAATCGACATAAAATTGTTTATTCTGTCGATTGCTTCCTTCGTCTTTCAGTTCAAACGGACAGGCTGGCCGCCGGAAAACCACAACAAACGCTTAATATGAATATATTTCGTGAACTCAAGTGGATCTTTAGAAGGCCTTTGCTTATCAGGAAATCTACCACGATCTTGACCTTATCGTGATTAGGACGAACATATCTATTATAAAATGAAGTAAGGCTCAACGAAAGATCAATTTTTAAGATCATGTAGTATAATGCTTATAATGACCTATGCTTCAATTTTTATGTAGAAAATCTCATTGGCCGAAAAATTCTGACAATATGCCACCAGCTGATTTTCTGAATTATTCAAAAATTTAAAGACGAGGTCTTAAAAACAAATTGAGTGTCTTGCCTTGCTGAAGCCAGCGTGGTACAAATGAACGTAAACCGAAAAAAGTTCCATTAAAATTGCCGTTTTAATTTCAAATTTCTTGTTTTATATCTTATCCTCATTCTCTTATTCATACGGCAATGTAACCTTGCTTGAATATGAAACACAGACTGGACAAGATAATTCTTTACCCGCAATCTAAATTAAGCCCGTTTTGTACTGAGCATTAGAGAGCTGTCTGTTTACATTTTGGTAATACCTTATTCGACGGTATACATTCATCGCGTCCGAATTGAATTTCCGGAGATATGTCTAAGACCAGTGAATAAGGTGATTTTAAATAGCCTTAACTTACCAACTTCTAGCCTACCATATCGTACGAGAAACGTCGTAAATGGCGTCCTCCCATATTAGTAAAAAACAAGTTTTTCAAAGTATACGTGTCTTGTGCCTATCGCAACTGATGTTTTCCTTTCCGCTCTTGCCTTCAGGAAGTGAAAACCTCGCAGCAAGCATTATAACAGGTGTTGGTGATAAAAATAGCTTATTTGTCCATTCTAAATAATTTTCTTTGGACTTATTCATGTTTATTCTACTTTATTCTTCGACTATTACTTAGCATTAGAAACAAAAAGTAATTCATCTTTGAGACTGAATACTCCTCTTAATCCGAACCAGAAAGTTATTTTTCCGAGTCGATTATGTTTGGGAAACCTAAAAATTTGCTCACCACATGTGAAAACTGTAAACGAAGTCATAAAAAGAAAATGCAAATAACGAATGAAACCTGGCCAGATGCGAGCGTGAATAAATATTACGGAAACAAATGTCAAACATAATTTTTTTCAAATATTTTCTTATGCATTATCATTTTTGATTCGTTGTGTCATGTATCTAAGTGCCGATTTGAGTTTGCCAGTATCGCATGGAGCAGTTTCGGGCCTACTGACTCATTTTTGTCATTGCAATAACACAACTCATTAACACAGGTCAGGTGCACTTTCTATCAGCTATGGAATATCACCGACGAGAGGAGGACGGGAACTGATTTAAAATTCTGTGAAGCTCTTGTGGTCGTCACGCCGCCGCAAGTGAATAAAATTACTTCTTTAGTTGACAAGTGGGACTAGTATTCGCAAGTTATTCTGTATTTTTTTTTTTTAATTTCCTTCAAGGGGGCGTTATCATAGAAAAGGAGAACCAAGCGAGTATAAAACTAAAAGAGCAACGTAAGTACGGTGACACATCAGATCTAGCCGTCTACGTTAAAACCAGCAATTCAAATACATGCCCGGCCAAAATGCAAAGCGAAATTGCTTTAACCGCTCGGCAGGTACTGTTATCATGTTTAACCGTGTTTACTTCGGATTTCGTGCATCTGGTTAATCGGGACTACTCAAAAGCGTTATAAAGCATATGTTAGTTTGTTCTTACTCGACTGGGCAAGATATTTTTGTGAGACTAGGTTTGGCATAAGTGTAAAATCATGATAAATAAATACGAGGGTTGTTACGATTCGATTAGCTGATGGACTCTTCATACTCAGCATTAGCGTTTTTATTTTCAATTCCGCTGGCCGTTGTTTCATACCTGTTGAATTACGTGCTGCAGAACTACTCAACTATTTTTGAATCTAATGGTACAAGACCGGCACAAATTGCAATAGTTACTTACATATTTGTTCTGCTCTCCTCATGGCGATGCAAAGTTCTCTCGATAACTGTCTCTAGTTGTTCTGACCAGTAGCAGGCTTGGATTTACGAGACTTAGAATCCCTGCCCCTTGGCAGAACAGGTGTCATTCACCTTGAACAAACACTATACTCTGGACATAAATCTAGAACTTTTAGAGCTGATGAACAATTATCGACTGTCGTAAGTTCCTGAATTATTCGTCGGTGAAGGTGTGAAAGGTATAAAGTTGAGGTGAAAAAAAATCTCTGCAATGATATTGTGAGTGCTACCTTAAGTTTATATCTTATTTTATTCACTTCTCAATTACGGGAAACGTTTTCAAATAATGTTTACTACATGCCATTGACAATTCCAAAACCTCACTTGAATACGCTTATTTTCGTAGCCTCTAGCAAAAACTATTAGCCTGTAACAAAATTTAAGTATTTCGAAAAATAGTGAAATAGTATTTTGCTGACATTGCCCTGCACCTGCTGGTTTTTGTGATGGACCCATTGTCAAATATTGCTTTTTCTATAACGTGATTGGCCATCCGAGTGGCCTTAATTTAGCACCAAAAGGACAGTATACGACTTATGCTTGCTATTGGAAAATATGCACCATTTTTGCTCGTTGCTACCATATTGTTTTCTTTATGAATACGCTTAAGGAATGGATATTTCGTTTGTTAAATTTTCTTGGTTTTGTTGAATTGTTAAAATGGACATTGTACTGTCCAATTCTGGCTGTAATCATGCTCACGAGAACTTCATAAAGGGGATAAGTTTCTAAAGAAACTGTGATGCTACGTCGGTGGGAGTAACATGATAATTTTGGTTTTATCCACTGAGTTGATAAAGTAAATTGGCCACCCGAAAGAGTCAGAGCGAAGGGTTAACGCTCGCTCTAACGAAGGGCTAACCCTCGAAACGTGAGCTTTGAAACTCTTTACGGTGGCCAATTTACTTTATCAACTCAGTTGATAAAACCAAAACTGCTATGATAACTAAGTCAGATTCCCACTACGGGTCGGCCGATTTTGTAAACAATCATGATTACGGACCTAATTAAACTCCACTCTGTCTTGTTACCAACATAAGCATATGATTTATCTAAAGAATAAAGCTTGTTAGTCGATGAAAGATATTATTCAAATCTTAATTGTTTTGCAGTGTAAGAACAATTAAGTTTCTTTTCAGTAAAGAAATTACGTCTGATTCTAATGGGAACTATTTTAGTTTCAAAACGGGTGAGTTACTGAGTAATCAGAAAAAAGGAAAACTTAGTCCTTATCTTTCCTTATCACGAAACTTCAATGATGTGACTGATTAAAAGACAGAAAACTGTACATTGATATCTTTGGTTCAAATGTCAATTGAATAACCTTTGTTGTGTTTATTTTTTCCCCTCAAAATACCAAAGGTATATTTCATAGGGCCGTCTTTGCGAACTCACTGGATCATGCGATGCAACCCAGTGATTTTACTACAATAACGGCCCGTTACTTTGTCTCCAGACTAACATCGATGCAGCTACCAAAATAGCTCATTATAATGCAAATATAGATTATCCTGTAAGCTCAGTGACAGAAAACCACAAAGCTTGATCAACAGAAACAAATTAGACTCGAACATTCTTCTTACGGACTCTAACGATGCAAAAGCCGCTCGCCGCAACATGATAGTCAATCTAAAGCAAACTGCAGAAACGAATTATGTGACATTTCTATGAAATAGTCAGGTACTGAAAGATACTGAACTCACCAGTTAAAAAGGAAAATAATACGAAATTTCATACCTTTGTTAAATTTCTATTAAGTGTAATGTAGTTTAATACAAACTACTATGATAGTGCGAGGTTATACGCCCAGCAAGCTTCATTTGACTTACTCTCCTTCATGACCTAGACTCTAATTTAATCCGTGTAACAGAAAAAATAAAAAAATTCAGGAGAAGGAGCGACTCTACTTAAATATAACGTGAGGTCAGAACGTTTACGATTCTTTACTAAAGTTGTCGTATAGAGTAAGCTTGTGGCTGGCGATGACACAGAGAATGACACAGAATTAACCGTTTGCCAATCGACATTGGATGTTTATGACTTTTGTGCACTAAGGCTGGAGAAGACTGGCAGGCAGTGAAACAAACTATCAAATGGACGAATGAAGAAGGTTACAAGTGATTAGGACTTTAGCAGGCCATAAGTAAAGGCAAACTTGGTCCTTCTGTCTCTATCTCTTTCTGCTTAAGTGAGTGTCATCGTGGGTACATGTATGACAAATTCGGAAACATTTCGTCAGTTGTTTCCTTTTACAAAACTTAACTCACCTTCAGAGTTACATTTTGGCGGCGAGAGTGCGTTATTAGCACCATATGCAAACAATTAAGACTGCAGTTCCTTTTAACTTGATCTCTCAAAAGAGCTTCGGCGTACTGACGTGTTTATCGTTCCTGATCACAATAACAGGCCGTAATTATATGTTTTTTAAGCACTGCATCTTTTGTCTGTCGTTCAACTCTTGCAGATGGAACAATTATCTATTCTATAAAAGTTTTAAGCACGAAGTTACTCAGTGTAAATACAAAATTTACACTTAAAGGTAAAGGGAAGATACAAACTCTCGTTCATATTTACATCTGATGATAATTTAGACTGAACAATGCACGTGTAATCTTGCTAACTGAGTTGCCGGCGTTCGTTCCATTCATGGTTCGGCGACAGAGGAAACATACTTGATTTTTTATTTCCCTTGGGTGCATTTTAAATTCAAGAGTAGTCAGTCATACCTTTTTGTCCAAGCGCCACTTACCAAGGCATTTTTGTTAATTTCCCGACCAGCAAACAACTGTGCTTTTTTCAAAAGAAATGTTGACCTTTGTTGCCCCATATAACACCTCTGTTCTGTAAAACGAAATTTAACACTTGATGTGATACTTATACGTACGTGCTGTCGAAGCGCATCACGCAATCAACCGGGAAAGTTACGCTAAGAACAATAGACGCAGACGATTGTAAACTCTGTAATAATAGTTTTGAAGGCTTTAGTCAAGTTAATGCCATGCAAGTATGTTTTCTTTTAATTTGTCGTGCTTTCTTTCATGCTGATGTATCAGAAAGAAAGAGATAGTTTAGACCTCTTAGATACAGGAACCATCTGTCTGAGAATAAAACCACGGACGTCCTGCTTTCAGTTTAAACCGGCTCACAATCCCTCTTAAAAAAAAAATATCTCAAAAATGTGCGCAAACCACGTCAGTCGAGGATAACTGTTGACGTTATTCTTCCTTCCTCTGACGATTGTTTTTCACTCTTGTAATTTGATTTCTAAAATATCTCTTTTTTCTGCGGACCGTGCATTATCGCCTTACGTCAATAGAATCAATGGTAAATCTGAAGTTATGTGGGCACAGTGGCGGTTTATTGCCTTGGGACTTACGTGTGGTCATTTTGTCAGTTTTCGAAACATTGTTATAAATTCTTCTTGGCATCGATTCCACTCGTGCTACTCTAATCGAAAATTGCGCAACATATACAGACAACAGTCCTTTCCAGGACTGTTCTTCCCCGAAAGATCAGACTACTCGATCAAATGCTATTCCTCAGTTCAACTATTTACTGTGCTCTTGCAAGACTCCTTGTATTTTATTCGCTCGGAAAACTCTGTGCTACAGTCATTCAGATTAGCTGATGCACAGAAAATATTTTTTAAGTCTATTTATCTATACTTCCTAACTAAGAAACATAATTACTTTTTTTGACTAGAAAAATAGGAAAAATTAAAGGGTGAGCCAATACATGAAACCTTACTTTTACATTTTATTTTTTCATTTTGGTCAAGGATTATTGTAGACAAATCCCTAGACGATAATCACCATTGAGTTCCATTTCTATAACATTTATCCACATACAAATGTGCAAAAATCCTTTTCTAACTCGAGAATTGTCTCTTATCTTTAGGTATAAGCATTCTTTGGAATATATCGGGATTTTTTTTGTTTTCATTGAACCATTTTTAGATATTGATAAAACAGTGCTTAACTAGTTGGATTTAATTAAGGGTTTTTTTGCGCTTCTGTTTTATGCTTTATCTCACTTCTTCGTGCCATAAAATCTAGGTAAAATTATTTCCAAAGTTCTTTATCAAGCCTAAATTTAACCTCTTAGGCTTCTCTCAAAATATGTTCGCCGCTTCATATATCCCAGTGCCTTCCATATAAAGTTTGGGGTGATCAAAGCTCCACCCTTGAAAGTACTGACTTTAAGCTACCTTAGATAACTGGATACTGATATCATATATATCCATGTAAAAGATTGCTGCTAATAACTTTCATTTAAATGACTTGCTCAACGGTCTTTTAGATAAAATGTGATTAAGTTGTAGATCCACGGATCTTCGTTGAGCGTCCAGCTGAAACATAATGAGATAATGATAAGTATGTGAAGCCATGACAGTTTTCCCCTGAGTGAGCCAATTAACAAATGGTAAACACCACAGCGTACACTATTGAGTTATGGATGCACTTGGGAGGTTGCTAAGCACGAAAGAAGCGTAAGAGTCGCTCGAGGCGATAGCCGAGAGCGACTCTTACGCTTCTTTCGTGCTTAGCAACCTCCCGCGTGCATCCATAACTCAATAGTGTACGCTGTGGTGTTTACCATTTGTTTTATAACATAACATTAATACATTGTAGCTAAAGAGTTCCCTTTTATTTAACAAATCTTACGCGACCAGAAAAAAACAAGCGCGCGCGGAAAAATAGTCTTTGCATTTGCTCACGTCACCAGCATACACCCATGGGCAAATGGGGGGCGCTAAATTGACCGATCAGAGCGCGCGCTTTACTTTGGTTATGTTATAAATGTTGATGATTTTCTCGGCCCCCGACTTAACGAAACAGATTTCAGAAGTGGTTTCAAATCCATGTTCGCCTGCCCTCCCTCATCTATTTTCTTTCTCTTTTCCACTCCTTTCACGCCTTAACTGAAGCAAGCCTTTGTTAATACGTACACGGCAAGGATTTCGAAAGAAGCATCCCATTGATCGGTAATTACCTTCGTTACACGAGCAGACCTCCACCTTAACCCTTCAGTATTTTTTTTTTCTTGGAGCTTATTCATGCACCATTCTTAATGACGCTAGATTTCTATTTAACTGACATGAAAGCCGAGGCTAAGGGTTGCATTGATGGAAGAAAATCTTAATGTCTCTAAAATATTACCATGGATGATCCACACAAATGAGTGGGATGGAAGAGACCTTATCATTTGTTAGATCCAACATTGGTACCATTGAACGGTGACTTCAATTGAATGAGTTAGTAGAAGAAAAAAAAAATACTTTCATTATGTACTATAGTGTCTATACCTCATCCTTTCCTTGCTTCCAAGCCCTGCGGATTTTCAAAGAATCCTCGCAAATTTTTCACCATGCCTCTCGGAGGATTGATCAATTCTTCTCTTCGTCCTGAAGGAGGGTAAACTGTTTTTGAGTCACTTAGTTGCGATACTCCTGTAAAAGCTGATGCACCAACTGTAAAGTTTTAAATGAAAGCTCACCTGGGTCTCGAGCACCCTGAACCGAATTTTGGTCTTGCTCAAAAATGGCTTTGTACTTGCGCACACTGATTGGAGACCCATCAACTGCAAGAGATGAAATGGCAAAATGCGTCTCTTAGTGACCTAACCTAATGCATTTTCTGTGGTTTAACTTATCAACTTTGACCTCCATCTAATCACTTATTCTGATTTCAGTTTAAATAAGTTTAAAATTTTACCTCCTTCAGAGTTATTCCTCCCAGATGAAGGAAATACTGGACCACCTCCATCGAACATCCTTCCCAGCTCCTTCACTTTTCCGGTGAGGTCCGACTCCCTTTCTTGACCTTGTAAACTGAAATGAACTTATAAGGAAAGAAGAGCTCTTATAAAGCAATATACCAAGTCCAGCTAACGGTGTACCTAGTTTAGTCGGTAACATTTTCTTCTTTCAGTTAATTCAAACTAGCTTTTTGAATTACTGGCAAGGGCTTTATGATACTTACCAGCATAGTCCTCTTTCAACGGCGCCTCTGTGAATGTATCAGTCACCTCGGCCTCCACTTCGTCCGCGGCTTCTTGGTCACTTTCACAACTTTCCGCCCCGGTCTCATCGCCACCCTCGCGATCTTCCTCTGAATCCCCTTCTTGGTAGGTCTCACCATCAACTGCTTCGTGTCCTTCATCATCTTCATCCTGATAATTGTCATTAGTTTCAACTGGCTCACTGAACTGCAAACGTTAAATAAAGAGAACACGCATGTCACTTCAGGAAAAAAACGCGTCCCTACCGTATAACCGTTTGTCTTATTTACTTAGAATAGACAAAAAAATCTAAAAGAGCCTTCAATGTTGTTCTGTTTTTACATACCTTTATCTAATTCAAGTGCAAGTATAGTTAGGGTATCTGAGTTTACAAGAAAATGGGAACACAGAAAGTGACCTGCCATTATCCTTATTATCATATATGGGGCAGCATTGATCAGTGAATATACCCTGTGATTAAAGTAGTCAGGGTATGCTTACCATGCTTACCATATATGGGGCAGCATTGATCAGTGAATATACCCTGTGATTAAACTAGTCAGGGTATGCTTACCATGCTTACCATATATGGGGCAGCATTGATCAGTGAATATACCCTGTGATTAAAGTAGTCAGGTTATGCTTACCAAGTTTCGTTCTTGTTCTTCTTTGCCAATTTCCTTAAAAGACTGTTCTTGTGCCGTATCTTGTTGACCGGTGACTTGGTCTTCTCCAGCGTCGAACGACTGGGCAGCAGAACCCACTTCGCTTACATCTGGAGTTGGCGAGTGGACGTGTACTTTGAGAGAAGAGGAATGCTTTCGACCTGATTCTTCATGCTCGATATCTATTTCTTCGTCACTGTCGCTGTCTTCATCATTTACCTTAGCTAATTCAGGACTGATTTCGCTCCCTTTTTCAAGCGTTTGTTCCACACTCAAAATTCCTGCCTCCTCGCCGTTGCCTAACTTCTCATCCTCCTCCTTGATTCCAATGTCTTCATTATCTTTCTCTGGCTCCTCGCCTTCACTTTGGTCTTCATCATCTTCTTCTTGAGCTAGCTGTGGGGATCCCTCCTCTTCCAGTGGGGTAAGCTTTGAACCATTACTTGAATCGCTCCCTTCCTCTTTCTCTTCTTTTTCCTCCTCAACTGTTTCCTCTTCTCCTTCGCTCTGTTCCACCCTCTCAACGGTACAAGACTGTCATCCATCTTCTTTTTTTTCAACTTCACTTTCAACTTCGTCCAATTCTTCTTCGGGCGAACTTAAGTCGTCTTCATTCTCTTTCTCATTCTCAACAGTTTGAACGGATGTTTCTTCTGCCCTCTGATCTTCTTTGCGGTCCTCTTTAATTTGATCTTTGAATTCTTTCAGTAAGGTGCTTTGGGCAGAATCTTTTTCTGCTTCATTCCCCTCTCCAGCCTGAGAAGTTTCTTCGAATTCGGGAGGAAGAAAGTTCATATACTCGGGAGCTACCAGAGTTCTTCCATAATAAGGTACTGATGATGTGGCCTCTTCTCCGTTCGTTTCGGCAAGTGTCTCGACGCTTTCGTCTTTGTCCTGATCATCTTGGTCACGCTTACTGCCATTCACTGTTTCTTCGTCATCATTTACCTCATCTTCATCGAGTTCTTCATCAATACCGTTGCCGTTTTCATCACTACACTCGTGACCATTTTCCTTTGCATTTCCATCCACACCATCCAGCTCTCTTTCAGTTTTTTCATCCTGTGGTTGTTGTTTTGGACATATTTCTTCATATCCATCATCGTGCTCTTCGATATCTCCTTTGACCTGAAGTGACTCTATTTCGCCAGATGAGAGTAAATCTTTTCGATCCTCATTTGAGTGCCAATCTTCCACGTTCTACAAAACAGAAAATGAAACCCGGATATTTTCTTTCTTCCACTTGTGACTAAATTAACATGGTAAAGCTTTATCTATATCGTTAATATTCATCATACCATAAGAATTGTTGCGAATAGAACCAAAATGTTGGTCCAACGTTTTTAATCCGCATTTCAATATAAATCTGACTAAATTATTTCGTAGGCTTTGAAATACTGCATCATTCATTATTATCGTGTCCTATTGCAAATTTGCGAATCTGTTTGGTTTTATTTGATATGGACCATGCTCGCTGTCTTATTTCCAAATTAAGCTATTAAATGATGTTTGGTCAATGTTCACTCTTACCCCTAAGGCACTTATTTACCCTTTCACTCCCACGAATGATCATTAAGTAAAATCTTCTTACTCTGTCAAGTATGAGAATTAACAGTGTCATCAAATAGGAAATTTATAGCCTCAATATCACACCAAGTTACCAGAAATGGTCAACAAAGGAAAAGCTAAGAACCGAGAATAACTAATTCACAGTGCGATTTCCAGCATTGCCTATTATGGAGATGGCAGTGTATCAGATGCTAAATCACTCTTGCCTTTCACCTCTCGTTGAGGAAATTTTGGGCTTCGAATAAAAAAGTGATCTTTACTTTTAGTTTCTAACTTCCGTGTTATATAATATTAAAAAATTCACGTGCAAATAATGGAGTTTAATAACTATTTTCGTTTAATGTTTAGATGTCTTCGTATGGCACATGAACATATCACAAAATGATATAATGTAGTCATTACAAGACTTAGCTTTATTATTAAAATACTTATAAAAAAAAATACTTAAACCTTAAAATGCCTTTAGGCGCACATAAATAATTTCTGCTTTTATCACCGTGTAACATTCCCTGAAATTTCAAATGAGCTACATGTATTGTAATCCTGTTGAACTGTTGGTTTTACAGGAACTGACTCGAGGCCATAAGCTCGGTGGCTAAGATATAAGCAAGTTAGTGTCTTTTCCCATGCGCGTTTGAAATTTAAGATTTTAACAAAGTTTGTTGATTTCTGAGCAAATGGGTAGAATTGGTTGTCATTTTTAAAAGCTTCCAGAGAGGGAGACTTGATCATTTTAAAGAGCAACATACCAACACAACGCCGTCATTGACGAAATGTGTTCAGCTAAAAAATAATTTTCTTTTTCAGAAGGACGTAATCTTAGTAAACGTTACGTTCAGAGAATTTTTTTCGCTTGACTCTGTTTGTGCGTCTCTTGAATGTTGTCTCTCGTAAATGAGTATTTTACGAACGTTACGCATGTATTGTTGTTGCAGTTGTCTTTTCCTTGCACAATCGACTAAGGCAAAGGCAGTGAGATACGTGTTCATTAATGACAAAATTAAATAGATACTGTGCCATGTATACATTGCTAAATAAGGACTTGAAATAATAGACGGAAATCAAATCGCACCTCGTATAGGGTTGATGCCATTTTCTGCTCTCCGCCTCAGACAGATGGCTTGTAAATCAGCCTAGAATAAAAACCATATATGAAGAATATAAATAAGAAACGTCAAGTTCCATTCCTTAAGAAAGAGTTTCTGCGTGATTGAAAGATATCTCACGCGAAGGGAGCAATCAGAGAAAGGATTTATAAGTAAATTTTGTGTTTGCACGTACGTTTCGCTAATGTTTTGAACAACTCAATCCAAAAGCACATTGCGGTTTCATACAAAACAGAAATTGATAAAATCCTAATTTGGCGATGACGCGCCATTGCGTTACGGAAGGTGTTATTCGAACACGCCAGGACTTATTTCACATACTTAATTTCTTTTAGTTTCGCCGACTATGAAGTGTATTCATTCCAACAGGTGTGGCTATATCTTTACTCCGATATTATTTCACTCAAGCTACTGAGAGTTTTACCCAAAGAAGATCTTGGTTACACCATACGTCTATATTATGTGAGAAACTTTCGGATATAGCTTCGTTTTACTGAGGCTAGCTAAAGAAGTTTTCGCGTCCACTTTATTTGCCGCGATCATTGACGAACAAAGAAATTGAAATCTATAATTTATTCAGGGATCAACCTGACAAAGGAAAGTCTCGAGTTAGCCTGGATGATATTCAAGTGAAAATGAAAAAGAGAGAGAGAAAAAAAAAAGAGAATGCTCAGCCGAGCTTAAATTTCCCTTTCTTTCAGATTTCTTCGATAAAAATCATACGTTGACACTCACTAAGTAAAGAATCTACGGAACCTTGATTTTCCTTTCATCATGTTCGCACATATACAAGCCGAGTAGTAGACTTCTAAAATAGTTACAAACACAATTTTTGTATTAAAATCCTACATGCATTAGTCTCTGAACTACGCGGGAAGGATTTTATTTCTAAACTAGTTTACTAATGAAAGAAGATTCCCACCGGTGCTTCATAAACATAGTGAAGGGTATACAATCGTACAATCAAAATAGATTGAATCATTCCTGTCGATTCGTTTGGCTGACGCTGTGATAGAAATTCAACCCCAGCTGATCAAGTACAGTGGGAGACACTGTTTTAGGAGCCGTTACTTTCATATTTAAAATGAGAAACGCGATACACAGGAAAAATACGAATATGAACATATAAAATTTAAGACTTACCTCCGTCCACCACGCGGTGCGACATGAAAAGACAATGAACGAGCAGGCAGAATAAATAACTATATATTAAAAGCATTCACCTTTGTTTATATTAGACTCGACACTTGAACCAATTATAAAGATCCTAGAAATGATCTCTGAAGCAGTTGTGCCAAAACATTTTGCGTCGACTCAATGAAATCTTTTGTTCAATCACCGTCGCTTTTCAGAGCAGGTGTTTCTTAAATCGTCTGCTTGAAGGTGCGATCTCTCCCACATTCATTTTCGTTCAATGTACTGAACATAAAAAAAAGGGTGACAGTTTTCATATTCTTTTAAAAGATATTTTCACTATAGTCCTTTTTCAACTATATAAAGGCACTGAAAGTCGGGTAAAATCTCCCGGTGGTCTGTGCATAAATATTTAAAGTCTCAACTTTTAATATTTTAATTGCGGAGAAAACTGACATACGCGGAGTTGGAGGAGTGCTGTCGATCACTTACGGCAACATTTCACACAGAATTTGTCATAAAAGGGTATATTTCAAATAAACGGGCTTGTATCTGATGCAAGTAACTCAACTTACATTCGCTTTGATAATTAAAAATTTTGCCCAATATTCATACGTAAGGATTGAAAAACATCATAACCACGAAAAATATTTTGATGAATTAAACAAGGCTCATAAATCGTTCAAGCGCAATTCTGCTTAAAATTCCATAAGAATGAATTAGTAAATATCACTCCTCATTGCGTGGTGCAGGCACGTTAATAAAAATTAATCCAAGGATTAAGAGCAAGGAATGAGAGCAAATCGAATCAAACTGAGGACTACATGATGGGCGAATTACAATGGAAATAGCTTGGAAGATTTTGCTGAATGAAACCTCCTATGGGGAAAAAGTTCTTTTTCTTTTACAGGACAGAGAAAATCCCTCCTCCTCCTCATTCCTAATGTTTGAAATTGCAAACGCCCCTCGGATCAAGATAACTGTCCACTTTAGAAGTACTGGGATTGCGAGATATGTGAGCCGGAATTACATTTACTACGACTCGATGTTCATTGAAAAAAGATGAATATCCACCCTTGAATCAGCCCTTCCCGAATTTTTTGAGCCGTCAACTTTTGCCGATTGAGATTCACAACTTAAGGAAAAGAGGACCCGAACTTACTGGATATTAATCCAATTTATTGATATCTGTGTCGACAAACATCTTTTCTTCACTTAGGTAAAATAACCACAGTATATATTTATGGATTAATCATGTCAGCGTGGTATTAAGTTAAAACTGAGTGTAGAAATAATCCTTTTTCGAGATCTGAGGTCAGTTCGAAAAGAATCCTTTACCGTGACATGTTTTTGTTGAAAAATTATCATCCGAAAACAGAGTCGCTATCGCTATTCTCGACTATTGACAGGCTCGCCCTTAAGTCATCGCTCAGAACGCTACTGTCACTCATTGCTATTTGTGGACGAGACGAAGTTGTGAAATATGACTTTTGACAGTGTCGATAAACTCGGCAGGTTGAAGTTATTTTTCTCATTTGATAACTGGACTCTGCCGTGTGAAAATCCAATCATAAGTCGCCAAACTCGTCTCGTACACCTTCAAACGTGTTTTCCAGTTGGTTTGTCATGAGTCCCATTTTTTTTACATTTAAGATTTCTTCTTTTTCGCTATTATTAGCGAATGTGTCGCATTCGTGGTCTGAGAGTTGAGATAGCTTGTCCTGAAAAGGATCAGAAGTAACAGATCTTCGTGTTTCCTTTGTTTTCACAGGCTTCGTTGTGGTGCCGTTACAGATGTTTATTAAACTCGAAGATATATCATCAAAGAAGTGGTCATCTGAATTTTCTTCCTCGTTATCTTCTTGGTTGTGTTCTTCGTCTCTTACGGCTATGTGGTAATGCTGATATTCCTTCAGTCTCTCGTTTTCTTTTGTCCTTGCACCGGCTGTAATATCTATGTTGCTATTAAAGCTCTGCAAGTATATACATGAAAGAGATTTTAATGTTACGCATTACAGTGGTAACCCTTATCACAGTGTTTATCTGGTGGATTTCAAGCAACTAGAAATTAGAGAGTATTCTGTAGAATATCCTTGCCTGGTCGACTGGCCTTAGCTCAAGCCCAGAAGAAGTGTGTGTCCCCACATCAATCCTTTTTTCTGAAGAAAGAAGGCAATAATAAGAAAAAGAAATTGTATCACTAGCTGAACCAAATAAAACCAAAAACCGAGGGACGCTGATGAGATCCTGGCCATGCCTAGGGTAGCAAGAACCAGCGCCTTTTTGCCTGTTTTGCAGGCGACATAAAACATGTTCATGGCTTTCTTTCTAGAAGTCAGCCTTGAGAACAAAGGATTGAAAATGATTGTTAGTGAAAAAAATATGGAAAATATGTTTTAAATTCTCTTTGACTACGTTCATTGAAATATACCATTTAACCCACCTTCCGATAACATGGCTTTCCTTTGAAGTCTTGTCGTCTGTACAATGCAAAACACAAGAGAGGATTCAGACCAGGAATTAATAGCTGGGTTTTTTACGTGGATCCGCCATGGTTGTATGGTAATCTACCATACAACCATGAACTTGTTTGTTCATTTTTTCTCTGAGTGTCTTAACTAACTAATTTTACTCACCTGACTAGACGAATATTTCTGCTGTGATTTTGCAATTATATTGTCACGGAGGTAGTCTCTTCGACTTCCATGACAGCAAAGTATCCGTTTGTACTCAGAGCGAATCTAAAAATCATTAAGGATTATTAAGTCGGAAGCTTGTGATTAATCTTTTATATTTTACCCATAATACAATGTATTCACCATTAATCTAAAATCAATTAATCAAAAATGCCCCGTTATAGTCTTGTTTCGATTACCGTGACTCTGTTAGATTTCAATTTTAATTATATGACTAAAAGACAAACGATTAAAATCGAAAGACTTGCTTACCCTGTCATCAGCTAAGCAATGAAAAATAAAGATGAAAAGTCCCTTGAAAAATTAAAGAAAAACAAGGAACATAAGTAATTCGGAAACAGAGGTCTTCTTGCTTGGAAGACAAAACTTCTTAAATTAATTGAATCGGATGTAGAATTAACCAAGATGGCTTTTTGTTCTCTATTCTTAATTGATATTGGGATAAGGGTTGTTGTCTTAATAGGAGGGACGGAATCTAGAGAACGTGGAAAAACCTCTTGGTGAGAGGACGAGAAGCAACAACAAACTGAACCAATCTCTGTCGCTAGCAGGTTCGTGAAGAGAAGTTGGGCACAAACGGTGGGAGACGAGCGTTCTCATCTCTGTGAGACAGCTATTTCCTACTAATTCCTACCCAAAAGAATTAAGTAATCATAAAATTCAGGAGGCTAGGGAAGGAATCAACTATCGGATTCACCTGCAAAGTGTTGAAAATATTGAACAGATAAGCAAAGAGGACTGTAGCTTTGTCCAGGAAAAACAATCCCAGTAGCCATGTTGTGCCTAAAAGACACGTCAATACTGCGCAGGCTTTTACCCAGTACCTGAGGAAAGGAGTTGAGAGTTAGTCAACGAGCAAAATATTTTATGAATAGATAAACAAATACATGAAAAAATAAATAATACGTGAAAAAATGTCAACCGGGTTACAGCATCGCAAAGGGTATTAAATGAAAAAACCTATGACCGAATTCATTATAGCATTACGAATCCAACCAGTTACTTATGCTTGGAACTTATAACCTATTACCTACTAATTTATGTTCAGATTGTTTTTGCTCAGCTTACGCACCAGAATCTTCCTGAGTAAAATTTTCCTCACAGTGATTAATTTACCAAGTGACTTCTTCTACTCTTCCATTATGGTAATCATCATCTTAATGCTTTTAACATCTTAGCTTGCAGTACTGTTGTTTTATTCCTTACCTCATTTTTGGCGGGTTACGGGCAGGCTGATTCAGGGAACGCGTTGCCATAACCTTGAGTGTCATTCCTAAAAACACCAGATTCAGCTAAAACGTAAAAATTACAATCAGCATTGTACATTTTCCAACATGTGCAACACAGCGGCAGCTGACAAAAAAGAAGTGGAAGCTAAATGCAGGTATCAGTCTTACCACACATATGAGAAGAACAGGGCCGACAAAACTCCATACGAAACCGTCTTCAACAGACAACCAGCAGCTATCACAAAGAGAAATCGCATGAAAATTCAATCGCGAGGTCAAAGGGGAGAGGCAAAATTTAAGGAACAACTAACACCTTTCCTTCTTCAATGTTTAATCGTTTGATTGTTGATTAACAACTTAGTTCAGTTTGTTTAAATATTTACGAGTGAAGTTGGTGATTACAAAGTTGCATTAAATAAGTTATGTAATATATTCTTTACCTACTTTTTAGAATAAAAGTTGGTTTCTGATAAGTGAATGGTGAGTGAATTAATTAATTAATGAAGGATGAACAATTGTCAATTGAATAAGTAACTTCCAGCAGAGAGGTGATTCGTCAGTTACATGAAAATCTCAAAAGACTCGTGTGCAGTCGTTCAGTCGGGCTTTCTATAACTAAGCGAAAAAGGGACGACTTCAGTCTGCAAAAAATCGGGGTCAAACACTAGGTGACTAGACCAAAGAATTAAATTTCGTCCAGAATGAGGAAATCAGAAGTAAGAAAAATATATATCATATATATATATATATATATCACGCTGGGCACGCGCGCCATAAAAACTGCCGGGTTCGCTGTGAGCAACATTTTTGGGCCGTGAAGTTGGGAGACTGGGATCTAATAATATTTTCCGTGCGTCGTCGAGATCGGCCGTTTTTTACGAAGCCTAACGACAATGTAGTTCGATTGATCGTCGATTTGACGCCAATATTACATTCTACGAAGTGAGAGCTTCACTTTGATACCAAACATGGCCGACCTTCTCGCGACGGTCTCTGCAGGTATTGCAGGTATGTCCCCACTCGAGTTCTTGTTTGTGCTTAAGCGTATCGCTAACTAACAGTTGCTAATATTTGGCTTCATATATATTTCGTCTGTCTACAGCAAGAGTACAGTTTTCCACCAAGAACCGAGGAAAAGCAATGGAAGAAGAAACCTATGTTTTTAAATTTTCGATTCTCACAACCGAATAACCGTGCGACGGCCAGGAAGAGCGAGCCATTTGGTCTATTTGGTGCAGCGATGTGTGAGCACATGTCGCACTTTTTAAACAAGAGGCAAAAAGATATAGTCGAAGGGCTTTACGAACAACAAACTCGAGGGAACGTTTCATTTTCCATTTTTTGTGAATCATCACTCAACACAGGAGCAGTGTTAAGAGAAGAAGCCTGTGAACAGGGAGATACCAGGAAGTGGCAAAGCAAAAGCTGTTATTTCGAGTATTGAGGAATCTAAACTGAACTACAGCTAAACCTCAGTTAAAGTATGATGGGAGTTAAAAAACAGGACACAGTGAAGACGTCATAAACATTAACCTTATGGCTCGAAGGAAGGCTAAAGTTTACAGCCGGTTTAATGTTGGAGTTTTTCTGAAAGAGAAAAGGCGTTTAAGAGATGAAGCTGCCAAGACTCTCAAAATTCTAGTCAAGCAAAAGGCTGAATGATCAAACCTTATTCGGAAAGTAAGTATTCATACCCCCCCCCCCACGAAAAAAAGTTTAACTCCTCACTCACATACATTTTAGAGAGAAAATAAATCAACATATTATAAGCAGGCTGGCACCCAGATCTGTGCTTTTGTAATCAAAATATTTTACATAGAAGCCTTATGGATTTGTGTCTATTAACATTCCCACTCATGATAAAGAAAAAACAACAAAAATAAAAAGTTAGACTATACTGGCAAGGACACTAAGGAAAAGTTGTCAAATTCGTTTATATTTGCTGTCAACTTATCTGCATTTTCATATAGGTAGTGCAATTGCAGAGTCTACTGGTTTGACTTAACTTTATGACTATATACATGGATAATCAACTTACATTAACGAGCTAAATGACATGTATGTTTTGTTTCATTTTATCCTTGACTCAATAAATATTTTTCTTAATGTTCTTGTATGTAGCAATGAGTTAAAATCAAAGTGAAATTATTGAGGTTATGATCAATTTGAACCACAGCATATACAAGCATGTACCGGAATTGAATCATTCCACATTTTCCACCTCTTTAAAGGTAGATGAAGTGTCTGAGGACATACAAGAATTGGGAGAACACTTGCCTGAAGCTGGCACAGCTATCCCTCAAAAAGAGAAGGCCTTTCTAACCAGGCAGTCTATTAAGGCAAGACGCAAAAACCCGAATGTCCTCCCTTCTGATGATAAGAAGAGGCCATCTTCAACAGTGGAGACACAAAGAAGGTCAGAGACATACCAAGCAGCCAAAGAAATACATGGGGCTGACCTAAATGATAATACTCCAGCACACATAGGTATTCTTAGTACAGCTGAGTAAAGGTGCCCTACAAAGATACTAGTTGACTTTATGTCAAAAAGTAAGAAGTTTTCCAAAAAGGTTTTTCCTAAACTTTATAAGAATGCAGCAGAAAAATTTGAAACTTCAGACATAAACATGCTTAGAAGTGTTTCAGTTTTCTATTCAAAAGGGGTAATGGGTAAGAAAAAGTACAGATCTGTGTACAGATCTCTTTTAATGACTACCAATCCTAAGAGGAAAACTAAAACAACACACATTCAAGTAATGTCATGTTCCTTGCCTTGGTTAGTTCCCTATAACAAACTTATCAAGTTTCTCAAAGAAGTTGACATAGGAACCTTAAAGAGTGTAAGAGAGAGCTTCTGTTCTGATTTGGAACCTGAGGATCAGGTTGATGGCTGTTACAGAAATTTAACAGAATGTCTTGTTAGATTAGCAGCTTTCTACCTTACAACCATCATTAAATTTAAGTTTTCAGAATTCCCCAATGACATGAAAATGTTGGCATTTCTGGCTCGGCAGCTTCCAAACAGTGCCAAGTATTTTTCAACATTTGCTGACATTTCAACTGATGAACTGCTTGATGTAAACAAATCATTTGGCCCAGAACCCCATAATGATTTCAGACCATGGGAATATCATAAGAGATTATCTGTTGCTAAGAAAGTTGGTGACCTCAAGGATAAATTAAACAAGACTCAGTTAGCTCCCAACACTAAAGC